ACAGCGGCAAAAACACAATCCAAGCAGCTTGCTCATTCTGCTGTCAATTTCTGTCCAAACCTAACAGTTTCAATCTTCCGACAGAAAATTCCATGGCAGGATCCTGTGAAATCAGCAACCTCATCTCCAATTATATCAGTGCCATGTACCAGCCAGAAGAGGTCCCACCAGACCCTGATCTGCTAACCCACCTTGTTGAAGATGACAACCTGTCTCTTGTTCTGAGCAATACAAGCACGGCAACTGAGACAACAGGTAGCTGTCCACAATCTGACGGTGCAAGGAGACTGGGCAATCGAATAAAAGAGAAAACAGGACATCTCGTACCCAGAATGGATTTTGGGACTCTGGTTTACTGGCCTTGGAGGTCTAAATGCCCACAGCAGATGGATTTCAGTGCAAAGCAGTTCTCTCTACCCTTTACTTGGGGAACTTGAATAAGCTCCCTAACCAATGCTAGGTTAATGCCTCTGAAATGCTTTGAACATTTGTCATGTTCTGTACAAATTATGATGATGAACTGAAGGGCATCAGGTTGGGGAAGGCTGGCTTAAAACCTTGCAGAGCCAAAAGGCCAGTTGTAATTTTTCTAGTCTGCCTTCCCTACCAGTGAAAAGCTATGTACATGGCCTTCTATGGACCAAGGGCCATTGGAGCCCTGAACAGCGCCACTGATATTGTGGCAGTTGATCACACACAGTATTCTAATGAAGGCATGGCTGGCTGCACAGGGAGCTGAGAAGCTGCTGCCCTAAATGACCTCATCCCATCTGGGAGGGGCATGTGCAGAGATAAGGGAACAGGTGACAGGTGTACGTGTTAACCACAGTGACTAAGCAAGATAAATCCTGTGCGTAAATGAACTGGCCGCACCCTGTGCAGCTCAGGCAGCAGTGTTCCAGGGGCTGGGCGGGCACTAGCAAAGCAATCACCTGCTCAACTAAGCCCACTCTTCTCTCTCCCCCCCCCCCCTTGCCTCTCCCTTCTACCATTCTGCAGGCAAACCAACATGGTATGGTGAGATGCCTCATTGCTGGAGCAGGTCTCAGGTGCTGGAGTGGATCAGCTATCATGTGGAGAAGAACAAGTATGACGCCAGTGCCATAGATTTCTCCTGCTGCAACATGGATGGCTACACCCTTTGCCAGTACACACGGGATCAGCTGGGACTTATCTTTGGGCCCCTTGGTGATGAGCTGTATGACCGCTTGCATGAGATTGGTACGTGTTGGCCCCCCCCCCTCCTCTCAAGGCAGAAATTCATTGGGATTCCTCCCCTCTACACCCCACCCTTTGAGGCAGAAATGCAAAACTTGAGAAAATGAGTATACAACTAAATGACAAGGTCCACACCTCATGCTAAACTAAGGTTTGCTGAATGATAGCTTCTTGAATAACACACAACTGAACATCACACTAAGCCATAAACCATTATTTACAAACCATAGCAGATCTCACTATGGATTAGTGTCCTGTATTTCACTGAAGCAAGGTGCTCTTTAGGGAGAGAAGGGACTGGGAATTTACTCTAGACCAGTAGCAATTGCTACCTTTTCTTATGGGCTTCACCCTGGTGTCTTCTAACATTAGCTTGCCTTCACCCCCATCTCCAAATTTATACAATGAAACCTTTCTCATCATCTTCATCTTCATCACAGGAGAGGGGGACACTTCAGCTGCTAAATGAAGTGACAGCATGTTGTATTACCGCAAAGGCAACAGATCACAGACAATGAAAGGAAACAGTCTGGAAAGCAACATAGAGACTAGTCATCTCTATTTATGAGAGCAATTAAAAAATGCCTGGTTCCTATCCCAGATTAATCAGAGGCATATCTAAATTTTCAGAAAAACACTGTCCCTATTTTATTAAATTTCCCTATAAAAAAGACAATGCAGCTTTTAGTTTATCTCTGAATGAACAAGGGAGAAGCACTTGTTCTTATAATGCAGAAATAACATATTTTTCTTTCCCTCACCCCTGTAGCATCTGTCCCAGATGAACTTGGCTGGATCATGTCAGTGCTGAGGACTGAAGATGTATCACAGGAGGCCCTTCTGGAATCCAGTCCTTTAGGTGAGACAATGAAGAATGGCTGCTCTGTCTTGTGATGGTTCCCTGTTGTTTACATCTGCTTTTGTGAGTGTGCTTAATCCTCAATTTCTTTTTTGTTTGTTTGTTTGTTTGTTTTTTTCTAGAATTGGGGAACTCATGCAGTCAAGACTATCTGGATGAGATGAAGTTAGCAAGCCTTTTTTCACAGCCCGATCTTGGCTACATCTCTGGAGCCATGTCACCAGACAGCTCTGCGTCTCTAGCAGGTACTGTATGTTCCCTTAATGGCTGATGTCCTTTGCCTCCTGCAGGTTCTAGCTTAGCTATCACAAGAAGTCCGTTGGCCCTAATAGATCCAACTTCCCAGCAAATTCACTCACATGAGTAGATTATAATCTGTTAAAAGTTTTCTTTATTTTGGGGGGAAAATATTTGACCATGTAGCCGTACCTAATATCAAAAACATCTACGTCCTAGAAGTAGAATGATAGCACAATATAAATAAATAAACCTTCAGGTTCCAGGGCAGTGCCCACCTTCTCTTAAGAGAGGACATCTGACAAATCATGCTTGATCCAGAGCAGGATCCAGAGCAGAGATTTTCATTTCCTTTCCTTTCTCCTCAGGGACGATGTCTCAGAGCCCTCAGTCTCAGGACTCCGGTGGAAGCGACCTAGATCTTGATCCCATAGACATAAAGCACTGCAGCTTTTCTGACGGTGAGTTATGACTCAGGCTGATCGGGAGGATTTTGGATATGCTTGCTTAAATGCTTTGGCTGCTAGTTGTTTTGCTGGTGGAATGACTTGCATCTTCAAAGACAAACTAACGAGGAGGAAGACAAAACATTCCAAGGTCTATGAACAGGAAGAGTAGAAATTAGAAGAAGGCATAAAAATGAATAAAAACAAGAAAACCTGAAGGGAAAAAAATTAGAATAGAATCATACATTTCCAACAGCTTAATTCTAGAATATGTTAATGTTACAGCTGAGTCCCAGAGCAAAGTAACAGAGCAGTCTGTGCATATGCAGAGTCTATTCCTTCATCACTGTGTAAATAGAAGTAACATAACTTTTCTATATTTACCAACAGAAGTGAATATGTGTAGCTCAGGGTTGAACTGTGGAGTCCTTGGGGTTCTCTGAGCTTGGTTGTTTTCTTGCAAATGTTTCATTACCCGGCTAGGTAACATCTTCAGTGCTAGAAGGGAGTGGGGTTTGCCCTCTGTTTATATACTGTGGCATGCCCTGCTAGTTAGTTGCTATATTTAGATATGAGAAAAGGGTTTCCAAATAAATTGGAATTCTTACAAGCTTGAGCACCAGCATTTAAAATCAAAATCAAATTCTGAATATTCCAGTTTTGTTCTCTGCAAATACAAACTCCTCTCACCTAGTCTATAGCAGTTTTGTCAAGATAGTCTGGGGAAATGACTACTAGAGTACAACGAGGAGACCAAGTCAAATGCCAATAACACTGCTAAAGGTAGGAAGGGTCAGAAGCAATGTAATAAGTTGTCACATACATAGATAGAATTGACTTAGACAACCCAAACCAAGGCACACTGATTGTTCTGCACTTCAGATTAGTGCAACTAAATATAACGTATCTGTATTTTTCTCCTACCCTCACTCCCTTTCTTTTAAAATAAAAAGTGGTCATAGGAGGCTGCAGTTCTAAGGATGTGAATAAGGGCTGACTACTTGTTTAGTTTTGTTTTCATACTCAGAATGAGGCACAGGTGACTTTCTTTCTTTGGAGAAAAACAATATGGAGGCCCATATCTTGCCCCATTTGGATGGAGAATGGTGGTTTAATTTTAAATGGGAAACTGGCCTAAAAAGAAAAAACAAATAGTTTGTTCATTTTTAACCAGTGAAACACCCAAGACTGCAGCTTTTTGTGGAAGATTTCTGTTTTAAGAGAAAGTTACATATCATTGCTATCTAGTTGCTCTCATAGCATAGCCAGAGTAGGAGAGCAACTGACCTAGAAGCTGATGTTGTTTTCTGATTTTGAAGAATTCCATTACAACTTCATTTTAAAGAGAATGTAGAGTAGAATTTTAAAAAACAGCATAAAACTTAACCAAATTGTTTCCTGGCAGTTAAAAACATAGAATAGTGGGAACCCTGCTTGCTAATGAGACTTCTCCCACATTCTTAGAATATCAGGATGGAGAATGTTGCTCTAGAAACGGATCGTGGCCATGACTGTATGATCAAAGCCCCATCCCTTTTTAATGTGTGGCCATCATCTTGACTTTTTAGACACTTCCCCCCATGCCCCTGTCTAGAGATAAGCTCTGTTTACAGTGTAGCTGAAATTTTGGCTGTGCATAAATGTACACATTCTGTTTACCCAAGGATAAACAAACACAGTTGGCCAGGATGTTATAGCTGCCTGGCATATGGAGTAAGGGATCAGCACCTGATTTGTCAGATATACTAGGTACAGATTCTGGCTCTGAATTGCCATATTCTCTTCTAGGGAATGTGCTTGAACTTTCAAGTTCACATATGATACCAGTAAAGGTGAATAGTTGTATGATAGTTGTAGGAATGTAGAGTATTGGGGCAAAAAGTTCAAGTGCATCTTATTTTTTTTCCTATATGGCACTGTCCAGAATATAAGAAAGAAGATCTCAAGAAAAGGAAAAGGGGACGACCAAGGAAGATCAGTAAGGACAGCAGAGACTGCCTGGAGTCCAAAAAGAACAAACACTGTAAGTGGATATCATACAGTATATGGGCAGGATGTCCATGATATCTGGCTAGTGAATGCAATCCAAATTTGCCCAAGCATTTCCTGCAGTGCTGCTCAGATTACATGCTATTTGGTGCCATAAGGGGATGACGTTTACAGATCTTGCTATCCTATACAACTGGTTGACTTGCATATGCTGGCCTGTTAACTTCAAGTCATTAGGCAGCTCGCACATTTGATCCATTGGGATATGCAGCATAGTAATTCTACTGGTGACTATATCCCTGCCAGGTATGCCACAATGGAACAGGGAATTTAAACATTGACCAACTGCATAATGCTTGAATTATGTCACTTTGCATTTGTCTTCCAAACTTACTGAAGGCATCTCAGTTATCTGATTATTTTCTGTCTCCTTGGAGATATAGAAGTTGCTCAGACACACAGTTCATTTCCTTATATGATGATGCCATACCCCTGCAGTGGAAAATATTTTATGCCCAGTTTGGAGACCTTTCCTGCTTGTGATGCCATTTGGACAGATGAATGATTTGCCTGTCTTGTTCTCTTTTTCATAACCAGCACCAAGAGGGATCCACCTGTGGGAATTCATCCGGGACATCCTAATTCATCCGGAGCTGAATGAGGGTTTGCTGAAGTGGGAAGACCGTCGAGAAGGCATTTTCAAGTTCCTGAGATCAGAGGCTGTAGCCCAGCTCTGGGGACAAAAGAAAAAAAATAGTAGCATGACCTATGAGAAACTCAGCCGTGCCATGAGGTATCTATTGTTATTTTTTTATACTGACCAATAATCTTCATAATTTAAAAAAATGTCATGGCTCTCTGCAAAGGACATATTAATTATATTAAAATACAATTAAAACAGAGTCACAAGAAATTAAAAGGCAGCAAATTCTTAAAACTCAACGATAAATAGCACATTAACTTTAAGGCCTACAAAAATAATATGGTCTGCTTGAGAAAAAACATTAACAAAATTGACAAGTGACTGCAATTCTTAGTAAGGGGATAGAATAAAGAGACAACAGGGGTAAACATCTGAGCAGATGCTGTTGCAGTGAGACTTCCTTTTTTTATGGGTACAGCTGTTTATGCCCTCAAAATGGGGTGGAAAGCTACATCTGTTAAGCCTTAGATCGGCTGAGCACATCTATTACCATTTTTAAAAATAATCCATATTTTTTGAGAAGAGGGAAAAGGGACAGAAATCCAGGCCCCATGTTCTCTGGTGGTGTAATTATAGCAGTGCCTCAGTCACTCCCCTCCCCACCCCAAAAGTAAGGGAAAAAAAGTATGGCTTCTGGTCACCAAAAATTACAGTTCCTGTAATAATAAATTCCAAGTATTTGGATTATGGAAACCTGACTCAAATCTACATCTATCTTTAAATATTTTAAAGATTCTGGCCTTAATTTTTTTTGCAGGGGGGTATCCTTGGGGCTCTTTTTCATAAAGCCCTTACTATCTCTTTCCTCAGGTATTACTACAAACGGGAAATTTTGGAACGTGTGGATGGCCGGAGACTTGTGTACAAGTTTGGGAAAAACTCCAGTGGTTGGAAGGAGGAAGAGGTGCAAGACCAGAGCTAAAGAGCTACAAGAGCCTCACATGGACTTGAACATGGCCCACTCTTACTTGGAGGCCCATCTTTGAGGACAATGGATTGTCACGGGCCCAGAACCATTAAACTGCTATCTTAAGCAGTGTGTTAAACTCTAGCCCTCCATGGGGCAAAGTGTATATGCTGGCTCCCAGCTGGGAGTTCAAGAAATTACAGCTGATATTTTGGCTCAAGTAGGTTATTGTGAACCATTATTATTTTGTTGCAATTGGACTTCGGCAGCCGGCAACTCTGAATTAGGATTACAATGCCTTTGGCTGTCTAAGACCGTGCACAAAGTTCATTGAGGCATAAGGAACAGGCTGTTCTTGGCTATTCCTGGAAGGCCATTCCCAAGACATCAAATAATTTGCTGATTGAAGGTGAACACTGTGGTCCACTATGTGCGGGAAACTGGGACGCTGTTCTGACACTGTTCTACCACAACATAAGAATGCTGATAAGCCTGAGAGCCACTTTGCAAAGCCAGGTGGACGTGTAGCTTCCCATCCAGCCACTGACTGTACCAGTAAATGTTCCTGTTTAACAGGCAGAAAATTGGCAATAGTAAAGCTGAGATCATTATGGATTTCACATCATTCCAGAGAGCAAGGCTCAATAGCCACAGATTTTACTCTTCTCCAGCTGAAGAACACTTTTCCCTAGAAAGTGCTGCAGCTTTCTCTATGAATAGCCTCTTCTTGCTCTTAATTTATATGTTATATATATATATATATATATATAATGTACATAGATATCTATTTTTTTCATAACTAAGTTCGTGTGATTGCATCAGGAAGCACTGGGCATTTTCAAAAACTAATGATTGTTGTTGCTAATATTCAGCTGGGCTGAACAAATAAAAAAGGAAATCTTTATTTTGAAATCAGAAAGTGTTTGTAAGATGTCTCCAGGAGAGCCCTGTGTGATGTACAGGCCTCCTGCTTTTTAATAATAATTAACCAATAAATCATTGTTTTGTTGGTTTTTAATTCTTGAGTGCTGCATGATAAATGATAAATGTGCATCACCAGGGGGAGCAGTGAAGAACAGAGGTTGGATTTTCACTGGGATAGAATAGAAAGGAAAGGGAAATGTATTTTTAATGTTGATATCTAAGAAAGATGCCCATTTAAGGATTCTTTATCTATTTGAATATCCTAGATTAGACTTCCCTGACCTGGGGAAGTTCCATCAGACATAAACAATGAACAACCCACTTGGGAACTATGAGCATTATAGTCCAACATAGCTGGAAGGCATCACTTTGAGAAAAGTTACTGTAGAGGGGCACATTCACATTATAATAATTAAATTTTGCTTTCTGAATAAAGGTATATGATACAGGTAAATAATCAGGTTCCATTAATTCCAGCCTTGTTTTCCACTGAACTAATTCTTTTCCCCAGTGTCAAAACAAGCAGTATTGATAGTCTTTTCATAAATAATACAAAAAGATCCTTGTGTATGGGAGAAATCTTTGGCCCTCTTGTAAAATTATATCCAAAGAGACATTTGGATATACAATGATGCAAGTCAGCTATATAGCACTTACTTGGCACACAGAAACTTCCAGGTGCAGTTGTCATTCTTTCTAGTTAAAAGGGCAAACAAACCTGAAAAGACCCTTTCTGAAGAGATGTTGTCTGTTGAAACAGAGAAAGTTTGGCTTCGTTATAAAGAAGCTTTATATGCTCTTCATTAGAATAAAAAATGTAGATTCCCTAAGACTGGGATAGGGTGAAGCTGTGCTTACTTTCATAAATCCATTTCGGATTAAAATAATATTCCTCTGTGGCAGAGTATAAAGCAATCAACCCAAACAGTTTCTGGCTAAGGGCTAAAGCATCTGTCTGATTCTGTCTCTCTTCATAATCTGACTATAATTTCTCACTATAATCTTTGAGAAGTCCTGAAGTACAGCGAAAGTGCCAGAAGACTGAAGAAGAGCTAACATTGTTTCACTCTTTTTTTAAAAAAGGTGGGGGGAATAAGCCCAGCACTTTTCAACATTTTAAAAAATTGAGATGAGGGAATAGAAGGGATGCTCAACAGATTTGCAGATGATACAAAGTGAGGGGGACTGATAACGCTTCAGAAGATAGGCTCAAATTTCAAAAGGATCTTGATAGACTTGAATATTGGGCCCTATTCAACCAAATGCTGTTCAATGGTGAGAAATGTCGGTTCTGCACTTAGGTAGGAAAAACTAGTATACAGGTACAAAATAGGCGATGCCTAGTTTAGCAGTAGTACTCATGAGCAGGATCTGGGTGTCCTGGTAGACCACAGACTGAGCACGTATCCACCAAAAGAGCCAATGCAATCTTAGGCTGGATCAACAGAGGAACAACGTTGAGATCACAGAAAGCAAGAGTTCTGCTCTATGCTGCACTAGTCAGATTAGATCTGGAATACTGTATCCAGTTGTGGTTGCCACAATACAAGAAGAATGCTGAGGCACTGGAAAGAGTACAGAGAAGAACCACAATGATGTTGAGGGGCTTAAAGGCTAAATACTATTAAAAACAGTTGAAAGATCTGAGTATGTTTAGCCTAAAGAAGGGAAGACTAAGGGGACATATGGTAGCAGTCTTCCAATATTTGGAGGGCTGTCAGAGGGAAGTAGGTACAAATTTAATTTAATTTAATTTAATTTAATTTAATTTAATTTAATTAATTACACTTAATATATTCAGTTGCTATGGCCAGCCCTCTGTTAGACTCTGAGTGGCTTACAAAATTCAAAAAGTAATTAATGAACTTAAAACATACAGGCAGCCTGGACTAAAACAAGCAGAGCAATAAACTACAAATATGGTGGGGGTCCCACAATGCATAACAAATACATTAACCCCAGGCCTGGGAACAGAGCCATGTCTTCAGGGCCCTCCAGAACCCCAGGGGAGGGGCCACTGTTTGTATGGGGGGGGATGCTCCTCCCAGGGCTGCAGACTACACTTTGAAGTCAGAAAATCACTCCCAAAGAAGGATTGGCAAACCATTTCTATAGGGCTTGATTAATTTAGCCGCTAAAAACAGATACAGATGAAATTGTAAAAATGTCTCCATGCACAGTTCATACTGGCTGAGCAGGATTTATGAGCCAGGTGAGCAAGTAACCTTTTTGCAGGATAATTTCAGAGCCATGTGGATTAAGCCTCCACTTCTCCACATAGACTCTGACTTCCATTCTTTCTGAGCTTCCAGAGATTGGATTTGGCAAAGGGCAGCCCTGTTGTTGACATTTAATTTATGTCACTATAAATTAATTTGTGCTTTGAATCTGTAGGCACACCCTTTCCTCTTCACAACAATGAAAGCTAGGCCAGATTCAGAGGTAACTGGTCCAAAGTCATATCCAGAAAGTCTTATCTTTAGCAGGGTTTTTAATCAGGCCAGCCTTGCTCTTGGTTCAGTACTCAGTTAAGCAAATCACACTGGCTCCGTGCAGTTTATGTTCAACTGCTATGTAGGCTAGCAAAACGCAATCTAAGTTTGTTCAGTCCAGTCCAGTATAAGAAAAACACTGTAATACCGTGCAAGGGAACCCATGGCATTATGCAGGATCTTGCCAGAATAACCAGAAGCCCTTTAAGGGGAAAAAAGTATTATACAATCTCAATCAATGGCCCTTACTCTGAATTTGCTCAGAGGCAGAGGAGAATGTGTCCTCTACTTTACTTTACAGGGCATTAGCCTATTTGAAGGGGTGCAAAAGGACAGTCCTTTCTTTGAAGGTGGACCTCTGTTCAGCTGGGTGTCCCTTCTAAGTGTAGTTAAGCATCAAATGCTGCAGGAAAGGAGAGCATTATGCAAGATGTTTTTTATCACTGGTTTATTAATCCATCTTGGTTGCTAAAATGGACAATTCATTCTCTAAAAATTACTGGAAATGTAATGAGCAAGTTGGATAATTTTTTTAAATATTTGGTGGCAATGTTGTAAAGCTCAACAATACTAGAACGAAACAAATTTTAAAAGATGAATTCCCATTTCTACCGACACTGTTTTTATTAAACTTTACTAAACCATGCAACTCTTCAAAATACAGAGTTAGCTTTGTGTATGCTAACTGTCACAAGGATGTTACATCCTTCTTCCTGGAAAAGTTGTTTGTTTTCCTCCTTGGAAGAACAGTTAGCCAAGTTGGGCGGTGGGTGGTGGTGGTGGGGCAATGCTTCAATTTCCAGAAAAACTTTGTACCCTGAAGTAAATCTCTCATAGGATTCAGTTCAAACTGGAAACCATACCTGGACTATAACTTAATACATCGATTTGGGTTTCTCTATGTAAACAGTCTATATCTGAACTTCATGGGATATTTAATCAGAAGAGATTCTCAGTGTCAATTCAATTCCTTATAGTTTATAATTTCAGCCAGCGATTTATACTGTGTTGAGTGTGGTTCTGATCTTTATTCTCAGCTCAAAGCTTATCAGCAATTTTTAATTTTTTAAAGCAATATAATATGCATTCATAGTCATTAAAGATATATTGGAAACTATAAATTCTATGACATTTTTAGATCCCTTGTTTACTCTCTTATTCTTGTTTACTTGTCTTTTACTTATGTTTCTTTAATACTCTTTCTCAAAAATATCTAAAAAGGAGGGAAGGAGGGAAGGAAGGGAGGGAGGAAATCCTTTAAGTAGGGCTTCCAGATCTGAACTGCAGAAATCTGGACATTCACTAGATGCCAGCAGTCATCCGGATTAGCATTTGGGCAATAGAAAGGGTAAGCAAAAAGCACAGTCCTCCCTGCTTTCGTGAAATGTATAATATTTCTGCTTTAGTTGTAGTAGGTATTTCTAAAGGTAAGGTACTATACATACAGATTAGCATATGCAAATTTTATTCAAACATCTTGGTCCTGTTTTCTCCTTTCCTGGCAGTGGGAATGTGCCCCTCCCATCCCAGCATGTCTTTGCTTTTTATCCATTTGCTTGTTCTGTTTTTGCTGGCTTTGAGGAGCAGGAGTATTGGGCCCTTTTTTCCCCTTTCAGTGCTTATTCTCCAACATACTAAAAATGTGGGCACTGGCAGACTTTTTGAAAAGAAAGCGAGAGGTCTGTGGCTTTACAGTGGCCACAGCAACCAGGCAATTGGCATTCAGCGCAACCAGATCCCCTTCAGGTGCCTTTGGAGTGATCAGCCCGTTGGCTAGGAATTCTGGGAGCTGGGCACTGGGTTGGGCAGGGCTGCTCCGGGCAGTTATTTTAATCTGCCCCAAATGAGGTGATTGCTGTTCCACAGCAGACTCACCCTGTCCCTGTAGCAAATTTAAATGTTTGCCCTGCAGTAAATGAAGTTTTGTAAGCAGGCAGTTGGGCTTATAATCCCTCTGCAGGAATTGCCAGAAAATCCTGTCCAAACATCTGCTTCTAAATAAGCCGGTGTGGTAATCCATTCTAGATAAATAACTTACTCTTGGTTTTTTTGAGGGTATTGACATCCATCTTCCAAACACATAAAGATTACCCTCTTTCTTGACTGTTTCTAATTTTCCTACAGACTTGTTCCTAAAATGCTCACATTGGACATGGTGCACTAACTAGCATTAGGCCATCTACAATCGCACTTGGACAGCAAAAGAACGAAAAGAGGGTACAATAACTGGATGTCCTACAAGGTGACCGCAGGGCACAGACAAAAAACACAAGATGACAGCCGAGATAGTGCAATCAAAGCTCTGCCTGTCCTTTATGTGCATCACCCATACCCCGCGGACACCCCTGATGTCCTACAGCCAGGTGTCAAACATTAGCATTGTTTAGAAGCACCAGAAGTAATACTTCTGTATGGGAAACTTGCCGAGTCAGAAAACAATCAATTATTCTACTGACTGTAAAGCTAAAATTACTCTCCTTCAGGCTGATCTTGATTCCTGGTGACTTTATGGCCATATACATATAATTTTTTTGACAGCAATGCAGAATGGCTTGCTTCTATTTTTTCC